GTAACACCACTGGATCTGTCCTGCAAGAGTTAATGTGATGCAGATGGGAAAATCACACATCCATTTTGATTTTACTGTACCAAAATCTCCTCACCAGTGCTGTTTTTTTTTTATCTAAGAAATTGTTACAAGGCCAGTTTGATGTCACAATGTCAAACTCCAAAGATGTTGCAACTTTGTCAAACAGCTTTTCATCGAAAGAGCAACAGATTTGTTTAGAAATACAAGAATCAGAGAACCCTCGCCAAACCACAAAAACCACCCTGTTGCTTCTAAATTGCAGTGATGTTAACCAGTAAACTCTGAGATTTAGAAAATTACACTAAAGGAGCTACTTTAGTTCATAAACAAAACATTCAGATGAGCAATTTCCAGCCTAATTACAAAATCTGAGGCACCACATTTAACGAGCCTTCCCACAGATAAACAAAACAATCTCATCCACCTTAAACCTCCTATTTCATTGCTCTCTACATTTAAATTTAATCTAGAGTAATGAGTTTAACAATGAAACATTTCTGTATTTTAAAACCTTTTTTTTTTGCAAAAACTTTGTAAAAATTTGCTGTCATTTCTGGTTCTAAATTTGCTCAGAAAACTAAAGGTGAGGCAGCTTTATATGTCTAACACATTTGTGGTTTGTAAATGTTTTTGTTTTTAATAATTAATCATTTATTATTGTTACTATGATTTAGTAAATATTTCTCGCTTTCATTTATTGTGCATGGTTATGGCTCCCTTCTGTCGCTTGTCTTTGCTCTCTTTAAGTTGTTTAAGAGGACCCCTGTGAAAACGAAATAGCACATCTCATGGGGTTACTCCTCTTTAAAGAGCAAGTCACACCCTACCAGAGTCTCACTCCACTCCCACTATAGAGCTCCGGACCCCACGTGACTCTCAGTTAGTGGACGCCATTTTGGCATGCAAAAAAGGTAAACAAACACGGATGTAACCATGAACATGAACGGGATCCGCTTGGATTTTACTTCGTCGGAGTTTACTTCACACTTTAAAACAGAAGAAATCGTTTTATATAGTCAGAAATTAAATAGACTAAACATCTCCGACCCTTACCGTGCCCCTGGGATACTTTTTAAAAACGCCAGAAGATGTCGGAGCGGACTTCTTACCGGCACAACACCGGACCTGACCGGGGAACCCCTTGGGATTTACCCGGAGGAGCTGGCTCCGGCGGCTGGGGAGAGGGAAGTCACGCTACTGCCCCCGCAACCCGACTCCGGATACGCGGATGAAAATGGATGGATGGACGGACAAATAACAGATTTACATGTAAGTAGTCTCGGTGAGACAGATAATAGCAATCCAAAGTGCTTTTTATGTGTGATCTGACAATTGATCAACCATTGCTTAAAAATTAAATACAGCTTAGCCGGTTAATTGCTGTGATCATAAAACATGGAAACGGAAGTTACGGTGTAACTATGGTTCTGTGAGTTCCTGGATGACTGCCAGTCACAGGGGTCACTCAGAACTTCTCGGGCGAGAAGATCCCGGGAGACCCGAAAGTAGCTATCGGCGCGTAATTTATAGACTCGCGACCAGGTGCGCTACGTGTCACGTGCGTGACTTTGTTTACATTAGTACTCGACCTGTGCAGAGCGCGAGGAGACACATCCACTCTGTTTACTGCCACTGGCAGTCAGGAGGGAACGAAACAGAACGGCAGCACGCAGAACTCACGAGGCAACGTTTTACGTGATGTTTACTTGTTGATATGAGTAATAAGACAGAAAAAGCCAGTTTAGGAAGCCCACTGAGAATCATAATAAAAGCATTTAAAATAAACACCATACACAGTTGAGGAAACGTTGGCTTAAGTACCTGATATGAAGCGGTCGCTGCATAAGCGAAAACCTTTACTCTCGGGATCCCACAGTTTCATTTTAGCCCGGTCACTAGCGCGTTTTAATACAATGATCCAACGTTTGTGGCGCTCCGGATCTTGGGGAATCCTGTAGATGGCTCATTCCTTATGTCGTCCGTGTCTGTTCTGCATCCTGGGGCACAACAGGAATCTACCATATTTCCTGTCTGATTGAGTTTTCTGACAATCACAAATAGTCCAGCTGCCGGCTTCTGCATGCCAATATGGCGCCGTTTCGATTTGAACTGTTGCATGCTGGGAGAAGTGACGTCAACTCCCGGAGCTCTATATGTTTGAAAAATGCAACAAATGCTGTTGCCTGGCAGACCAAGAGTCCGGAGCCGCTAACAAATACACACAAACAGGCTCACAACAGCATTGTGACATCATAATGTACCAACTAACGTCATTGTGTATCTCTTAGCCAATATGTTTATGTTTATGTATTTAGCAGACGCTTTTGTCCAAAGCAACTTACAAGTGATAATCGGCATGTTGCCCTTGAGGCTAACAACAACAATAACAACAACTTGACATCAGTCATGGAGAGGAGGGAACAAGGAGTGGACAGTAGAGAGGGGGGGCGGGTGCAGGGAGGGTGCTAGTTTAGAAGATGCTCTCTGAAGAGCAGGGTCTTCAGGAGTTTCTTGAAAATTGAAAAGGAAGCCCCTGTTCTGGTAGTGCTTGGTAGGTCATTCCACATTTGTGGAACGATGGATGAGAAGAAGTCTGGATTGTCCTGAGCGTGGTGTAGGCACTGCTAGCCGACGATCCTGTGATGACCAGAGCGGCCGGGCCGAGACGTAAGCCTTTGCAAGAGGATTCAGGTAGATGGGAGCCGTACCATCTCGGACTTTGTATGCTAGTGTTAGCAATTTGAATTTGATGCGTGCTGCTAGCGGTAGCCAGTGGAGCTCAATGAACAGAGGGGTGACGTGTGCTGTTTTTGGCTGATTGAAGACCAGACGCGCCGCTGCGTTCTGGACCATTTGAAGAGGTCTCACAGAACAGGCTGGAATACCAGTTAGAAGGGCATTGCAGTAATCGAGGCGGGAGATGACAGTAGATTGCACCAGGAGCTGGGTGGCATGTTGTGTTAGGTATGGTCGGATCTTTCATATGTTATACAGCGCAAAGCAGCATGAACGAGCAACAGATGCAACATGATCTTTAAAGGTCAGGTGTTCATCAGTCACAAGGAGCCAGAGATAGGAGGTCATTTTAGATTGAGATATTGTGCAGTATGGATGGTTTTGCTGGGATGTCAAGTAGGTTTTAGAGAGGTTGAGTTGGAGATGGTGGGATTTCATCCATTTTGATAAGTCAGAGAGACAGTTTGATATTCGTGCAGAGACAGTGTGGTCGTCCGGTGGAAATGACAGATAGAGCTGGGTGTCGTCTGCATAGCAGTGGTAGGAGAAGCCATGTGATCGAATGATCTCACCCAGTGGCAAAGAGAAGAGGCCCTAGTACAGAGCCCTGGGGGACTCCTGTGGCAAGATGGTGCATGGTAGAGGATTGTACAAGCCAAGATACACTAAATGATCGTCCTGTGAGGTACGATTCAAACTAGGCGTGTGCTTTCTCTGTGATGCCCATGCTAGAGAGTGTGGACAAAAGGAAGCCATGATTGACAGTGTCAAATGCAGCCGATAAGTTGAGCAGGATAAGCACTGAGGATTTGGCAGTCGCTCAGTGCCTCCAATAGCGATGGCAGATTTAAATTCAAATGTAGTGCAGAGTTTTTACCTGACAACGGTGCAACTTTGACAGTTTTAGGCAGAATATTGAAATTTGAACTAAGATGCATTAAAGTGTCACATTATTGACTACACGTGCCTACAGCATGATTACACACTCATTTATATAGTTTATGCGCAAAAAAAGTTGATTTGGTGGTGACTTGCGCTTTAAATAAATGTTAGTCACAGAGGCAATTCCACATGATTTCCATTAGCCTTTTTAAAAAATTTTTCCAGAACTGCGCTTTTTTCGGAACTGCGCTGAATTGAACAGCACAAACATTAAAGTAACAGCTCAGCTCAGCTCAGTTAAAATGCACAAATAAATTTAGATCAAATAAAAAAATGCACACATTTATTTCAGATTTCAAAATCATAAAAAACGACAAAGTTAAAGGGTGAGCAGCTACAGTGCAGCAAGTGCAGCATAAGAGACAGTCATTCAAAGGCTGACGAATGCACGACAGCTACTAGAGTTGAAGCACGTTTGAGTTCATGGGGAAGCTGATTCCATCTGTGTGCAGCACCTGTTTGGTTCTGACCCGGGTTTGGTCCTGCTTGATTTTACCTGATCAATCAGGGCCTGAGACTGTACACAGAGGGAGAGGATGATGACTGACATGATGATATAACTGAGAAATAAAACCACAAGAAAAAAAGGACCTGTCAGGATAATCGCCTCCTCGTTCATTGTTTCTCCTTTACTTTTGGATGTTAATTTTCATTTATTTTCACTGTCTCTTCCTGATTCACTTTAGAGAAGGTGTGATGTCATCCTCTTACACACACAAACACACATGTGTGTTTTCACAGCCGTGTCTATAATGAGCTCTTCGGGGGACTGTCAAGTCCACGGTTAGCTAACGTCTGTGTTACCTGTGTTTACATGTGCCGGTTAGGTAATGTCTCCCTCCGTTTACCGCCCGTTTGTCTGTGTGACTGAAATCACATGACCTGACCCACTGGGAGCTGATGCAGCACATTGATGCTTCTGGCTTATGTTTACTTCTTACATTTGTTTGGTTTTTATGCCCAGAAAAGGAAAAGAAAGCCATCGTTATGAACATTAGCAAGCAGAACGTTGTCAGTGTTCTGCAGAAATGCTCCTTTTCTGCAGAAAGGTGCTTTGTTCTACTTCACAGGAGCAGATGATTCAAATATTTGTTTACTGGAGAACAAATCAAGGTGATAATTAGCGTGGGGTATTAATTAAACAGCATCTAGATTTGGTGCAACAACCAGCTAAATGTGGACCCGTAGGGAGGGGTCCACATCTGTTTTTGATTAAAAACAAATCCACTTCCTTTCCTTCTAAAATGCAACAATAACATCTTGCTCTTGACTAACAGGAAGGACGCTAATACAACAGAGAATTTGTTTAAAGACAGCATTTATTGAAGTTCGATGCAAGCCAGTCGCATTTCATTACACGTTTCTGCAATTTCGGATTTGTAAAACTTAAACTTTGAAATATAAATGATTGTAACACAAGATCAGCAAAATTATCTTGATAATTTCTCTGTTACGGTGTATTAAGAAGAAAATTTAACAGCATTTCTGGTTTTTTTTTTTTCTTTCTATTCCTTACATCTCAAATGATGCAGATCTCGGATAAAACTCAGTCTAGTCAGCTGTCTTCACTTCCTGTATGTGGATGGAAACAAAGTTTTTTTCTGCCATCAAACGTGGAATCTGTAGAGGAAAAGTCCCCAGAGAACCTGCTCTGAAAACTCACTTAATGTTCTTTTTTAACGAAACAATAAAGTGCCGCTCGTTGGACAGGGGTGTTACAGTATTTGAACATAAAAGCAAACACATTTCATTCATGTGGCCACGCGTTCTTGGTTGGATTTATTGTGTTTGTGTCTTTTCATCCAAGAAATGCCTCGATGACAATTCTTGTCATGTGTCTACATATGTCTGATCTCAGAATTGTGTGTACTGAAACTCTAATTTCCCTCTGGGATTAATAAAGTATTTTTGAATTGAATTGAATTGATTCAAATCCTTTCTTGAAATCGATTTGTTGCCTTTTTTCCAAATCTGTTGTGTTTCAAACCAAGATGCTATCGGTTTGTGTCGGATTGGGATTTTCCCATCTGTTTGGACTAGAAACTCTACCGTCTCTTTGTCCAGGAGGCAGGCATCACAGTTCGCTGCAGGGGGTTGTTGGTTTGATCACTGATATACGGTAAGGCCAGGAGGTCCGGGAGCACCTGGTGATCCAGGTGGGCCAATTGGACCTGGTTTTCCCTGTGGTCCTGGATGTCCCATGAAGCCTATTAGTCCCACAGGTCCCTGGGGGCCTTGAGGCCCTACAGGCCCAGCTGGGCCTTGCTTACCAGGGACACCCATGTCACCTTTCTGACCCCTTTCCCCTTTGGGCCCTGGGAGTCCATTTGCACCTTTGCTTCCTTTGATTCCTGGAGGTCCTTTGGTGCCATCAGGACCTGGTTCACCCAGTGCTCCTTTGGGGCCAGGAGAACCCTTCCCCCCAGCTTGTCCCTGGCTTCCTATAAAGCCTCTGTCACCTTTCATACCAATCAGTCCAGAATGTCCTTTTGGACCCACGTCACCACGACTCCCCTTTGGCCCAGGAGGTCCAGGAGCACCTGTTAAAAAATACCAGGGTGATTTAATTGAAGTCAAAGTTCTCTTGTTTTTTCAACACATCTGCAGTGATCTCTTGCATAAATGAATGCCTTGTGAGTTGATGTCATTGGGGAAAAAGCTCTGGCTCTCCTGCTTTGATGTTTTATCTTCACAAATAGTACGAGCCTGAAGACGTTCTGCCATGTTGTGGATGTGACAGTGTGAGCGACCTGTCACTGTATCCCATCTGACCATGCGTCCTGGCTACTTGGCTAAGGGGATGTCCCTTTGGTTGACTGGTTAGCACGCGTGACTCTCACCCGGGAGTCTGGGGATCGAATCCCGGCCGGGCCCCCGTTTCTCCACCTTGCCACGTGGAGTTGCTAATGCTAACAGTTAGCGTTTACTAGCCAAGACATACTCTGATCCGTCCTGGATGCTAAATTAACAACAGCCTTCCCCGTCGCGAGCCAGGATGGGTGAGTCCATGAAAGCTACTTTGAAATATGACGTGCAGTTGTCCGGTTTTTCTAATCTGAGCATTTCCTCATCTATTTTCTTTTAGCGGCTAATGCAGGAGATCACGTTTAGCCTGCGTGTGAAACTCAGAGAGATCAAATTTCAAAAAGTAAAAAATTATTTCTGAGTGAACTTGATCTTTAAAAACAACAACAGCAGCAATACCTTTAACAATAGTGAAGTTCTTAATGAGCTGGCTGTGGAGAACATCCACAAGCTTCATCTCCTCCATCACCATGGACATGTTCCTCACGTCCATTTCCAGTTGGACATTCAGCTGTGCGTTCTGCTGCCTCAGCTTGTCGGCCACGTTCAGAAGTAACACAACGGTGCTGTTCACGTTCTGAATGAAAGACAGAAAGGTTCTGGGCATTTTCAGGCCAGTGACGTTCCCCAAAGACCAACAACATGCATGAAGCCATTTGCCTAACGTCGTGTTCTCTGTTCGTCTTTATACACTTGTCATCTTTCATTCCCACCTGCAGGTCTTCTGTGTGTCTGTCCAGGCGGTTCTGGCAGGAGGAGCTCTCCACATTGATGTACTTGTACATGCTCTGGACGTGGCTGACGGTGGCGTTGATGCTGGAGGCGATGGTTTCGATCTCCATATCAATGGAGTTCAGACGACTGTCCAAGGCGGAGAAACGCTCACCTGTTCGGTTCTCGTAGTACCTAAAGAAAACAGTAGGAACGTAGAGTAGGCCTTTACGGAGTGATTGACACAATGCTCTCGTATGTTACCTGGAATGATACTGAAGATCATGCATGTTCTCCTCGTTTTCATCCATAAAAGATGTGATGTTGTCTAGTTGCATCTGAAGGTTCAACACCTGCGAGAAAACACAAACTTCATGGATGACCGCTAAGCCGAAGGGACAAAAGACAACTGGAACCAGTCTCACCTGGTGCGTGAGGTCGTAGATCACCTCAGCAGTCATGGAGATCTCATGTTGATTTTTCATGATGTTGCCCAGAAGGACATGCACGCCTAGTGATATGATGCCCGCGTTGGATCTGACAGAGTTCAGAACTCTGCTGTAGTTCTGCCAATCACTGGTCAACTTATGGAGGATCAGAGTTTCCTCTTCGGCTTTCCTCTGCAGGGCTTCGATCCACGTGGCGCTGAGAGGTAGAGGGAGATGATTACACTTTCAGTTTTTTTGATGTACATAAAAAGGACGGGACTGTGTAGCTGGGTCTGCGATGCAACGCTGAGATGTTTTCTGTGTATTTAAGTAAATTAATGTCATAAATTAAATTCTGACTAATGTGTTATTCTCGTAGATTCACCTGAGAGCTACCGTTGTGTTAACTTGTCGCGTCGTTACGCTGATGTCAAACTGATCCTCCACCAGCGTTTTCATCTTCTCCTCAGATTCCTCGATCACCTCCTTCCAACCATCCACCTGATCCAGGAATCGTTCCAGCGACTGGTTGAGAAGTTTGATCGACATGAGGTGGGTTTGGACTTCCCGTGTTAAACGGTTGCTAGTGGCTTTAATGGTGGCCTGTGTTTGGAAGGCGTGGTCAACGACCTGCAGGGGTCAAAGAGAAGAAAAACAGAATAGTTGCTGCTTTTCTCCACTTTGCGTTATGACAGTTAAACTGTCTTTTGGTCTTAGATTACTGGTCCTCATACTTGTTCTTGTCCCAATATCATCTTCTGAATTTCTTCAAATTCTTTCTTTAGCCGGCTGATCTCTTCACTGTAGGACGACACATCCAGGCAGCCTGAACTGTTAGACACTAACCTCAGATCTGAGACATGGAGACGTGAAAGGAGGTAAAAGGAAGCTCCTTCATCTTAAAGGTGTGATTCGTAGAAAAAACATTTTTTAAATATTATTTCTGACTATAATCGGTCTCTCTGAGTTTTACATGCAGGCTGAACATGAAAACAGTCTCCTATGCCTATCTCCTGCATTAGCTTCTGGTAGAAAATAGATGATGAAATGCTAGGATTTGAAAATCCTCACACTGTGATGTCACGCTGTGAATTTGCATTCATGGCCTCACCCATCTGGCTCACACCTGCCCACAGGGAGGCTTTAAAAAAATAACTTTTTTGCAGCGAGGAGAGAGCGGGGAGTGTCTTGGTGATAGTGACTTTGCGACATGGCTGAACGTGGTCTGTTAGCCAATCAGAAGCGAGGTGTGTGCATATCATTAATAATAATAGCAAACTTCTGCTTCTCAGAACAGGAGCATCATAACTTTTTAAATAACTCACAAGGTATTGATTTACACTGCAAATGTATTGAATAAGTGAGTAAACCACACCTTGAAAAGCATCCCGGCTAGTCACAAAATGAACAGCAGAACAAAAAGTACATTTAAACTTTCTTTGGGAAAATGCTCCTCAATAGTCCCAAAACCAAGCACTAGAATCAAGGGGTGCTTTTTTTCAGTTATACCAGTTTTTCTGTGCAGTGGTTTGTTTCTACGGATTTACTTTTGACTCATAAGAACAACGTGATCCAATGCAAAAGATAAAAAAAATGATCTTCTTGTTTCTTTACCTTCTATTTCTTGTTGAACCTTGGTGATCTTCTTGTTGTGTGACAATTCATCTTCGGACAAACCGTCCATCTTTTTGAACACTGGAGAGACATAGCATTTAAAGAATTGAACAATGCTCAAAGGACATTAAATGCAAACATGCAGAAAACAGAAGGAAGGAACAAAAAAATCATTGACATCAGCAGGGACTCTGTCCAGGAAATGCGGAGGATGTCAAAAGAGACGTTGTAATTCAAGCCCAGGAAAAAAATAAAAATTCATCAGTTCACAAATGCAACCAAAACACGGACAAATGGTTGTTTTCGCAGCTGGTCAGGTCTCTGCATACTTCCCAAGGAAGTAATAATGATTAATGCAGGAATGTTGAAGTTTATGTCAGACTGCAAGCTTGATTGGTGTTTTTTTTCAGCATTTAAAGCTCTGACCCAGGGGGATTAATGGAAATCTGTGCCGTTTGTCCTACAGAAACTTCCACATGTTCATTACCATCTGCTCAGCTGCCTTAGACATGGTGACAGTGATGATAATGGCTCATTTTTAGGTTCTAGTGGCTTATTCTAGCCTAGCGAACTAGACCAGATTCTTGCTTTGCAAAGTTTGGTCTAGGCACGCTCCATTGGAACCTCCCCAGCTCCTACCAGGACTCTGGCTGGCCAATCACAGCTCTCTAGAGGGGTTTCAAACACATAAAGAGCTGTGATTGGTCCATAATGGTGGGCCAATCATAGTGCTCTATCTGCTTAGTGAACAAATCGCAGAGCTTTATCCGCTTTGTGGGCCAATCAGGGCACTCTATATGCCTGGTGGGTGGGATGATGCAACAGAGTGAAACAAGAGTATGTCACATTCATTGTCCAGTAGCATGCGGAGATCATTTGAAAGACAACGGTAGAACCCGCCCCACAACCGAGAGCCGTCAATGGAGCGTGGTCTGGCTTGCCAGGTTAGGCTTATTCCAGATTGACTTGGACCTGAGTAGTTTACACGACTTTGCAACAGCAAGTGTTTACCGTCTTTGTGCATGTACATTTTTCACGTTTCACAACATTTACACAGCACACAGTCTGCTCATGTCATGTCAAGCTAAGCCAAGTTAGTCCAAGTCAAGTCTGCTTCAAGTCAAATCTAGCCAAGTCCAGCCAAGTCAAGCCCAGCCATATCAAGACCAGCCAAGTCAAGTCTGAATTAACTCAAGGTTTTAAAGTCTACTTCAAGTCAAATCTAGCCAAGTCCAGCCAAGTCATGTCAAGTCAAGCCTGGCCAAGTCATATCGAGACCAGTCAAGTCAAGTCAAGTGCAACAAAGTTATGTTATTGTGAAGCCACACCATCTTACACCAATCCTTCTGTTTTACCTCCAATAAACTTGTATTTATTGCTCCATTCAAATTGCCATTTGGGAAGAATAATAGACATGTTTAGATAATCAACACATGCATATGAACCCAAATAACTAGATAAGAAACCAGCTTAGCTTAGTAACATATTAAGCTACAGTAGTAAGTAAACTAATTATTAAAGCTAATTTAAAGTTGAAATCCTCAATATTCAGGGGATATAACGTTCCTGTCTCTTTATTTTATCGAGAATAAAGTATGATGCCAACTTCTGGCAACAGAATTTTCAGCTAAACATGAAAAACGTACTTTCTACGCGTGCAAATTAAATTATAACCAGAACACACTCAAACCAAAACCTGAACTTCTAAAGGAAGATGTACCTGAATGTCTGTTTTTAAGGAATCTTTCATGACTACCGAGGCCTCCTTCTCCCTTCTGAGACTCCTGAGCACCAGTACAACAAGGAGATTTACGACTCGTTCCCAGTAAAGAGAATAAAAACACGATGTTGATGTAAAAACCATCTGTTTGCGCTGAGCAGCTGTCAGGTAAAATATTAGCATGCAAAGACCATGTTCATTTGATCCGAGGAGGAAAGGAGGCTTGTTGATGTATGTTTCAGCATTAATCAGTAGCATCACTGAACAAGTCACACAGCTGCATTAATCCAGTTTGGAATCGGTGTAAGGACAGGAAATCAGAGACTGATGAGTGAAAATGAAAGGAGAAACATGGCTCACCGAGTGAAGCCAACACTACAACAGTAATGATGAGAAAAGCAACAAATCCGTAGAGAACTTTGACCGCCAGCTGGAGGGAATGACTCTGCTGGCATCTCATGCAGCCACCTCTCGTACGACCTGAAAATACAGAGAATCTAACTAGAAATGGGAATATACAACATCAATTTGGAGAGTCCTCAAAGGGCAGCTCTGTCCTGCATGCTTTAGATTTATCTGCAAAACTGAACCAGTCTTTAAAGTAACACTAATTCTTTCTTTCTTTGTTTAACCAGGTAAAATGTTAGAGAACAAGTTCTCATTTGCAACATGACCTGATGGAAGATAGTACAAGAGAACAACAACAACAATATAAAAACATTTAAGCATATGAAAACAAATAAAAAACATATGAGAACAAAAGTGAGAGCTTTAACGTTTATCTCAGTGATTGTTGGGTTAGACACCTCTCTGCTGTTCTCTACTGACCAAAAACTGCACTAGATACTTTTGTGGAGTGAATAGGTGTCCCAGAGGCGCTCTTTACCTGCTTTACGGCTGTTAGCTGTCATGCTAGCAGTTAGCTTTTTCAGTTTCCCGATCGTCAATAAAAACACACGAAGTTTGCTTTTTTTGTTTTTATCATGGCGAAGCCTGGAAGTAAAAGTAAGAGTGTAACGTCTTTGGAGGCGAAGGAAAGCTAAAACCAGAGTGAGCATCTGCATGGCTTATGCTAGTTTAAGGAAGCTAAAGGAGACTACAAAATCGCGGACTGATTGTGACCTGGCTTTGTTGCTTGTGGACTTGTAAGTAATAATATTTTTTGTCCAACAATGTGGATCTTTTTGTGGTTTATTTTAGTATTAGTTGGCTATGTTAGTGAAAGCTTGTTGTTAGCCCTAGCTACAGCAGGGTTGTTTACAACAGTTGTTATTTCACTGATATGTGATACTTTAACATGATTCTGCAGAACTTTAGGGAGGCTACTGAACCAGTTGTGTTGGAGCAAGGGTAAAACAAGCAGGACAGTGGCCCTTTAAGACCAGGAAAGGACACACACTTCAAACAGAAGGTTATGAAGGCTCAGTGGGACCACGTAGACATGAACAAAAAATAATTAAACACAGGCATTTTCTGGAAGGTGAACAGGTTTTCTCCTGTACTCGGCTGTATTTGTTTGCAGCTGAACACAACAAACGTTCTTTAGCCCTTCAAAATAAGAGTCTCAAACATGCATTTGTACCTCAAAACCTCCACAGCTAATAAAAATGTATTACATTTATAGCTAGAAAACACGCCCCTTTATTACAATAAAAGTTATAAACTGGTGCTTTGCTTCCTTACGGACAACATTCAAAGTTATCTTTACACTGTGACTTTAATCCTGACACTTACTGTTTGTTTTTAAAGTCTCCTGTGTGGCACCAATATCCCCTCATAAATGCATCGGACCTCACCTCTAAATGTTGGCATTTCTTCCTCCTCTCCAGTGAAGTCCTCATCTAAAAAACCAGTAAGGAACAGCTTCAGATCATAGTATTTTGAAAAGGTTTCACACATCAACTAGCTCATAAAATAACTCTGATGAAACATAAAAAAGAGAAAACAGAGATCCAGATAATACCTTTGAAGAGCTGGTTCTCATATCCCCCATAGTTGTCTGAAAAACAGAGAAAGTGCAGTAAACTCACGTGGAAACCAGCTGCCTCCCCCTGCAGGGGTCCGCGTGTTTCCTCTGAGCCGTTGCTTGTTCAGAAGAAAACACAAACACAGCTGTTGGTTTTGTGAGCTCATTCCTGTGGGCATCTGAGGAGGTTGTCATCACACAGTGGATGAGGGGAAAAGTAACCATCAGGCTTAATAAACTAGTCAGTTTACATTAAGGTTTGTACATTATGTTCATGTTTTCATAGCTTCATATTAGATTTTCTATGTCACGTCACGACCTGGACGCCATCCAGCGCAGCACCTGAGGCTGAACTGGTGCGATGTTTTAGAAGAAAGGCTGATGAAGGAAACCTGCATAATTCACTATGGGTTGAACTAATCTAATCAGACAGCTGAAACACTGTGTTTTATATAATAGATTGTTTTGTTCTTTGCAGCTGAAATTGGATGGGTTTTACATTATTTTTTGATTTTTTTAAAAGATCAACTTTACTTCTATATTTAATACATTTCCAGTGGCCTCTAGTAGGAATAAATGTCTCGTAAGTTGTATTTTTTCTGTTGCACCTGTTTCAGGAACTAGAAGTGAGCCAGATAAAAGCTGAGCTTCAGGTGATTTTCGAACATCTCCCCTCTGATTGGCTAACAGCAACACGACTCTACCACTGACTCTGTTTGCTCTGCAACGTTGATGTTTTATCTCCATAAATAACACAAGCCTTGAGGAGTTCTGCTGTGTGGTGGTGTTGCTAAGGCTAACAGTTAGCTTCTACTAGTTCTGTTGCTTCCTGGACGCTAAACCAACAACAGTCTTCCTCTTCGTGAGTCAAGATGGGTGAGTCTGTGAATGTTAAGAGACAGTGTGATGTAGATCTGTCAGGATTTTCTAATCCTAGAGTTTCTAATACAGGAGATAGGTGTAGGAGACTATTTTCATGTTCAGCCTGCATGTAAAACTCAGAAATCGATCGAGATTAAAAAAAAATTTCAGTGCAGCTGACCTTTAAATAAAGTAAAATCTTTTAGTTTTCTGCATTTCTAGTAATTGTTCTCTGTGTTTCAATCACAAAAGCACAAAATTCTTGAATTAATCAACTTCAAATACATAACTAATATGCATTTTTAATCTTATGTAATGCAAGACAGGCTTTTAAAGTTGCATCTGCAGCTCTGATAGGAACCTAAAACTTAATCTTCATTAAAGTTTTCATTGATTAACACACTTATGATGACAGGAAATCAGAATTATCATGCTAAAAGCCAAAGAATAGGAATACAAGAATGCTGAATTGTATTTTTTTATTGATAGCTTGTTTATTTTGTTTTTCCAATAAATAAAAACAAAGGCGGAGAGTGTTGACTGAACCCCATCTAGTCCATCTAATACATTTCTGACCCCGGCTTTACTTTTCAACATTTCCGCCTCAAATAGCTCCGCTCCAAAAACTCAACTTGGCAACAGAAGTGTTAAGCTGAGTGAAACCAAATAAGCGCAAAGACTCAACAGGATGAACTGTGTGTATTTAACGCATCGTCGAGGTGAAAGTTTACATGACTCAGAGGTGGAGCAGCCGAGGTCATGATGGATGAGTCACAAGATACCAAAGCTTAAACATGGAGAAGCCAATTCAAGAGCACATCACTCTTCCTCAGGACCCTCAACTATCTACCAGCTTCGTGTTTGACTCTTACCACCTCAGCTCCTTTACTTTCACTTTCCTCTCCTCATGTTTTCTCTGCTGTCTGTGGAGAAAAACTCGTGTCTGCCTTGTTAGTGAGGAAGTCAACCCGCCCCGTCCAGCACACTGAGCAGAGCTAAGCTGATCTGACAGCAGCACAGCCTGACCTGATCCCACCTGGTCGCTCAGGAACAACCTCAGAGCAAGTGGGAGGGCTGCTTAAGGCTTTTCCTATTGGCATTCCCCAAAAACGGAACAAAAACAGGCCATGTGCAAGGACACGATAAAAAAATAAAATAAAACAGTATTATACAATAAAACAGCAGTGAAAGAAAAGCAATGGGTGGGTGGTTAGTGATTGAGAAACAGCTGGGGTGGTTGATGGAGGTGGCGGGTGTGAGTGGAAATGAAGGCCAGACAGGAACTGGAAAACCAACCGATTACAGGAAAACAAAAAATAAAAACATGTCAATTAGAATTTAAAACCTAACCCTAAACTATACCCAAACCAACATCACGATGACAAGACTCTTCCACTGCCTTCGTTCTTTTCTGGGTAAAAAATGCTACGTGGGCGTTTTGTCTCCACAAACAACACGAGCCTGAACACGATCCGCCTGTGATGTAGAGGAGACCGGCTTTTTCTGACCTGATCCTTTTCTTTCTGCTGCTAATGCAGACAATGGGGTTGAAGAACATTTTCATGTTTAACGTGTGTATCCAACTCAAAGTGATTGCGTTTCAAAATGAACAAGTATTAAATGGTTTCTTCTCAGTGAATGTGACCTTCAAAGTTAAAGTAAAAGTCCCACAGTCATCATCACACACTGGTGAAGTTCATCTCCGCATTCTACCCATCCCCACGGAGGGGGGCGGTGAGCTGCAGTGGTGGCTGCGCTCGGAAACTGTCTGGTGGTTTAATCCCTAATCCAACCCCGTGAAGCTGAGTGTCAAGCAGTGAGGCATTGGGTCCCATTTTGAAAGGCTTCCCGACCGGGAAGCATCCAGATATCAGGATTAGTACCTTCATCAGATCAGTGCCATACTCAGTGATGTACATATCTACTGCCCCCTAGTGGAGGACCTACAGGTGGCTTTTAGATTTTAAAAGGTTAAAACATAGAATGCCAACATTTCCTTTATAAGGGGTTGGGTCAAAAACCCCTTTAGACGAGGCTAAAGAGCTTCAAACTGTTGTTTTCTGTGTTTCCTGCATGTGACCTTGAGTCCAGATGGGAGATGGAGGCGCAGCAATGCTGCTGTGAAAACACTGAGCCAAGCAGCAGGTTACAGAGACCCGCGAGACGAGCCTCGTTCCCAACAACAGCACATCTCTTGTTTCTTGACGTCTCCGTCCATCCTGTTCCTCTGGTGTTTGTGAATCCATCCCCAGGCCTGAGAACTATCACCACCTCCCCATGTTTGTGGTTCCTCCTCTGCAGATTTTCTTGGTTGGTTTCAGGACTTGTCACTCCCTCTCCTACTATTTCACCCACCCTTCTGGACCCTTAACTTTGCCACAAATTGTGAAAAATGTCATTCTTTCTGAATAACGTGCCTTAAATATCCACTGACCTCACCACATCAGTCGCTCCATGATGGGATAAATTCTCCGTTACATAAAAATGCCCTTCTCCACAGTACAGCCTACAGAAACATGAGGCTTTTTTAAAAAAATTATGTGGTCACATTTGTTATTTTGACAAGAAAATATCTTATTAAGGATGTCAAAAAATATTATGCAACAGTCAGAAAGTGGAGAGGAGTCCAGTTCTTTACCACAGCTCATAAAATCAACAACAACAACAAAAACTCATCCATTTAGTGACAGGAATGTGTGGTGTCTTCACAACACTCTTAAGTGCCTGGAATGCAATGCTGCAAGTCGTAAAAGACCCCCGACTTTTATGGTGGTTGGACTGCAAGACAAACCCTTTTTAATCCCATGCATGTTTCTGTAGGACTGAACTGGTTTGGACGGCCAGAACGAGACACAAAGACAAGCATGGTCACTTTTATGAGGCTGTATTAAACCAAAAGGGTGTGTGCAACGCAATTAGTTTCCCCGATTCCCTGATTCATGCAGTGGTGATTATTTACAGGAATGCAATGGCCTCCAAAAAGAGCTTCAATGACTCATGTTTTTGTGATCTTTTACTGTAGCGGATCAGCCGTTCTTCAGGCTTTCTGGAGGTCTTTGATTTTTCTGTTGATATTTTCACTCATTTTTAGTTCAGCATCTAGCCAGAATACATTCTGGCTAGATGTATAAAGACTCATGTATAAACCACTGAACTCTAACCTGTCATTTGAAGAGCCGAAACGAGTTTCCTTCCCTCTGTGGTGAAATGGCCTGTTTTCGATGGTAAATGACCCATTTGATATGGCGCATTACATGGTTCTACAACTCCCAAAGACACTTTAAAACATCACTAGTCCTTCACACACATACACACACATACACACACACACACACACACACACACACACACACACAGAGTTCCCCAGGTCAATCCAGGATGCGTTAGAGGGATTACATCCCAAGGCTAATGGAGATTGCTGGGTTGCGCCTTGCTACTGGACCTGCTACCCCTATAACCCAATGAACAAATTAGAGCTATTGACAGAATAAAAATGTATTTTAGTATGAAAACAGGAAGATGACGCATGCCAGATTTCATTTATTTCTTTTATTTTGTGACTTTTTGGTGTTTTGTGCTCTGTCCAGTATCTTTGTCTGAGCACACACTCATCAAGTTCAAAGAAAACTTCTAAAAATCTTCTAAAATCCTGGAAAACTACTGGATCCAAACTACTTTGAAAGGTCCTTTTTACACATTCTGGCTGCTTAAAGAAAAACCTTGAACAGAATAAAGGTAGTTTAACCCTTTAAAATGTAAAATATGGAATAATAGTGAATAAATATAGCTTCTAAACTTGTATAGTTTATGACTGACTGTGGAAGGTTACGGGTGAAGGTTGTTACGTGAAGCGCCCCTTTTTGGCCACAAGGTGGCCTCAGTGGCTTCTGCCTCACCTGTCTCTCTCTGTGCTCAGCTGTGGGTAACTGGGCAATAACTTGGCAGCTGTTAAAAGCTGCTCTCCTGCCCTCTAGTTTTGAGAAGGTACAGGGAAGTTTGGGCACGAAGGTGTTCAGGCTTCTCTCTTCTCCTCGCGTGCGTGTGTGTGTGTGTGTGTGTGTGTGTGTGTGTGTGTGTGTGTGTGTGTGTGTGTGTGTGTGTGTGTGTGTGTGTGTTAGCTTCATGATACTTCGGTGATTTAGTGATTTAGACTCGTGATAATTAGGATTTCT